GCATGCTTTTGATGACTGAATACTTGACTTCCATTATAAAATTTTTAATGATATGTGTTGATACCTCTTAGCTGTCATTTCATATAAATAATTGTCAGATGCAAGCTGGTCATAGCAAACAATCAGCAACTCTGTTCTTCATGTCAGCTGAAGGGACTGTCTATCCGGGACACAATGACTGGGCTAAGTATTTTATTGCATATATCTGAGCAGTTTTAGCAAAATGAACTTGAACCAGTATGTTTAGGTTTTGATGAAACTCTCCTCTGGTCTTTAAACTCAGGAGTAACAGGGTAAGCCAGAAGGGGAAATGTAGCAATTTTAACAATATGGAACTTATCCATCCTTCCCCCACCCTTCTTTCTTCACAGGCAGTAGAAGATGCATATGTACCAGTTATCAAGTTTGAATTTGAAGGTATTGAGGTAAGAATTGGTTTCTTAACACACATCTCAAATAACAGATTATTTGTGGTTTGCTTTGGAACTGAATGATTTAACAGAGCCTCTAATCCTATACACTGACACTTCAGGGAGATTTGTTTTTAACTTTTGGTGATAATGTTCCAGAAGCAAAGATCAAGGTGGTAGGGATGAAGAAAGTGTGTAGGGGTCTTTGTTTTTTGGGCGGGTGTCTTTTTTTTTTTTTTTTTATAAAACCCTACACACCCTGCCTGACTGGCAGTATCTGCCAGATGCAGGAGTTTTTTGATAGCATATTTTATCTGAGGGCCATCATGTATGGATGCAACTTGCTTAAACTTTACACCATCAGCATTACAAAATTACACCATCAAAAGGTCTTAGAATGATATTGTCTGACATTTTAGCTCTTTATAAAAAGTAACAATAAACACATGTACATATGCGCTTTACTGCAGAGCTGACTAATTAGCTGCATAGTGAAGTGTCACAGTCTACATGTGCACCCCTATTAGAGTGCAGTAAACTAATTAAACTCCACTGTAGGGTAGCACTGTCCAGAACCAGTACTATCTTACAATGGAGTAGTTGTGTGTGTGCTGAAATGAACATGTAGATGACTGGGGCTGGCCGGGGCACGGGTGCTACAGCCTAGCACTATATAGCACCCTTATGTTCCAGCCAGCCTGTCCACAGCCCGGGGCTGACTTTCCCCTGCACTACCCCGCTCCTTCTTTCCCCAGCCATGTCTCCAAGCTCTCTGCCAGCCAGGACTGCTCCACCGGCTATAGTCCCAGGTGCATGTGTAAACTCTGCACCCAGAACACAAACTGTACTGGAGTTTATTGCTACATGTTAATAGCACATGTAATACTGTTCACAATTATGCTTAAATAGTCTAAAAGTTAAATTCTGCTTCAGGAGACGCTAATTGTTACTTAAGCTGTTGAAAACCTCTCATTTTGCAACTTGTGTTCCCTGAGGTGCTTCTTGTTCCCGGTGTCTAAAGATACCGGGCTTGCAGTACAGCTGGCCTGATTGTACACACACAACTGCCTATGCAGCAATCAGCTACTGCTGTCAGGATTTAAAACAAACAAAGTCAGAAGAAAGAACAAAGTAATAGTACTGAAAGCTTTGTACCTCTGCAGATGCTCCTTTTTAAGTAAATACTTGTTTTTCAAAGTGTAGAATATCTGACTCTTCGTACTCTCTTGAAATATCACTTCCAAATACTGAAAAACAGCTACATAGCTGTGCCACAATGTACAGCTTAGGGCCCACATACTTCAAATTGAGCCATACATAGGACAGGTGTAACCCAAAACTACCTTGAATACCCCTTTCCCTCTTCCATTTCCTTTGAGTGCTGGAGGTCTGCAGTCTCTGTCAAGATATTCCTGCTTGCAGGAGTCACATGCAATAATACCCTGATGGTGCCACTTGTTGTGGCTCCCCATCTTGGTGACCCAGTATACAGCATTGTTGAGGATTCATACAACTAGGGAGAACTTGGACTGCTCTGCCCCAAGCTGCTTTAATAGTCTGAAGAATCTGGTCCCAAGTGATGCTGGTTTGAGGATTTAAAGACTTGCTCCTTTCCACTGAATTTGGAAAGGAACTATTATGTAGTCAGCACAAAACAAGCCTAGGATGTGATCGTCAGTGCAGAGAGATTCTCCCTTACCTTTAGTGACAAATAATGGAGCTGGCTGAATTATTAAAAATGTGACTTTTTATATTTTTCAGGATCCCTAACTTATGATAAACAGAAAAAAAAACTTTGTCTCCACTGGAAGAAGGGGTGTGAAACAAATGTGATGCTTCAAAACAAATAAATATTAAGGAACTTTTGGGAGATAATTTCTTTACAATACCAGAGCAGTCTGGCTTTCTGGGTTGACTTGTAAATACTTCTGAGATGTTAACAAGCAGTGGTGTTTTAAGGGTCTTGGATTCAGATCATTTAGCTTAGTGTACCAGCCACTAATCAGAATGTTACATTAACTTTTTATACTTTTTTCTTTTTAAGATTGATCTTGTGTTTGCAAGATTGGCTATACAGACTGTATCTGATAACTTGGATCTTAGAGATGATTCACGCCTGAGGAGTCTGGATATAAGATGTATACGAAGCTTAAACGGTATTGTAAATATAACTTATGTAGCCTAAGGAGCTTTCCTTTTAAACAAAGCAAATGATATAAGAGGGTTTATTTGGGGGGGGGGAAAAAAAGTACTATCCAAACTGGATTTTAACAAAATATAGTGATAAAGCTAATGTATAGACTTGTAAAGTAGACAGGGAAAAACTACTAGCTAAGACCTAAGCTGGCACAGTGGTGGGTAGGTTTAAAAGTGGTTATGTTTTTAGGAAACAGGATAAGTGTCTGTTCATACCCATGTTTTTTACTCTGTACCAGTGTCATTGACTTACCCTTCAATATTTGAATCCATTTTTGCCCTTTCAAATGTGAATGTGCTATATATAAATCAGTAGTTCATACTCTTACATGTAAATTAAGGAAAACAAAGCAAGGGTGTGGGGAAAGGGTGGTGGTGGTTCAGAATGGCTAAACACTGTTACCTGGATTACAAGTAAACTTGCAGGTTGGTTACTGATAAAGAGGCAAGAGAGGTCTACAGCCAAACCTTTAATTGCTTATATCCCAAAACTCTACTCATGGCAGCACAATATAGATTTTTACCTACACTGGCTAAAGAGGCTTGAGTGGGGAGGAGGGTGGCATGCAAATTAGAAGCAAGCCTTCTTGATTTTTGCTGTTCAAATTTTTCTCCAGCGTATCCACTGTATTTATAGATGGTTTATTTTAATAAATGTTCTCTGATTCACTTTAACAAAGTTTCACTGACATTTTTGGGACTCGGCTGAACCAGATACCTTGTGGACTTAAAAGGTGTCATTGGGATTTAAGTCCTTGGGGAAGTAGAAA